TAGCATCATCAGTGCTAGAAGGGAGGAGGAGGAGGAGGAGGAGGAGGAGGAGGAGGAGGAGGAGGAGATGATGATTGTGGGGTCCTTAGTGCTCTCTGAGCTTCTTTGTTTTCTCGCAGACGTTTCATTACCCAAATAGGTAGCATCATCAGTGCTAGAAGGGGGAGGAAGAGGAGGAGGAGACGATGATGATTGTGGGGTCCTTGATTTAAAGCAGACACAGAATAATAGAGTTGGAAGGGATCTTGGAGGTCCTCTAGTCCAACCCCCCTGCTCAAGCAGGATATCCTACACCATTCCAGACAAATGGATGTCCAATCTCTTCTTCAAAACCTCCAGTCTGGTTCGTGGTTCCTAATTCGTGCTACACCAGCAAAACCTCCCATTCTTTTCTCTATCTGAAACTTAATTTTTTCCCCTGAAAATTACATTCTTTAGCAAGTGAAGGTGGTCATCGCTATTCAGAGGTTCCCTTCTTAAACGGCATCCTAAGGACTGTTTTCTCCTCGTTGAACTTTTTTCTATTGAGGAGGTCTCACCCTACGGAAACTTGAAGATGTCACCGCAACCCGCCATGGGTCGGTGGCTGACAGATTTAATAAATAAGAAACAAAAAACAAGAAAGGATCTCTGAACAAGCAGCCTACGTCCCAAGGCTGAAGAGAAGTGGACGGGTCAGGGGTTGGGTTGGTGCCCTCCATGGAAGGAGACCATCTCTGCCTCGTGCCAAAACGGGCAGAGACGGATGAGGTAGGAAGCGTGTGTGGCCTTGGAGCTTCATGGCTTGGCTGGAGAAGACCCAGAACCATCTCCCGAGCAAGGGATGAGGGTGGTGGGGATAAAAGTCCTCTCGGGGTGTCCCTCACAGCAGAGAATGCAAAATGAGGACGAGGAGGCAGAGGGCCAGGGTGGCCACGATGAAGAAGATGCTTGCAATCCAGAAAGCTTCTTCGTGACCCTTGAGCTGTTGAGGGGCTTCAGCCGGGATCCGGTTGGTGAGGTTCAGCATGTAGCCCAAGGCCCAACCGATGTCTGAATTGGAAGCCTGTGGGAAAAGAGAGGGGGGAGGAAAGAAACCTTGATAATAGGTGAGAGGAGAATGAGAGGAAGACCTCACCTCTTCCCTGGATGCACCTTGTGCCCTTCCTCACCACCTGGGTCAATTTTAAACTGAAATAAACGGTTGCCGTTTCACGTTTTAATGTTTCTTATGGGATTTTGATGGTGGTAAAACTGCCTAGGTGAGATATTTTGATAGATGAATAGGTGGGTTTCCCGATTGGAGAAATGGGCACAACGGTCAAGACCAACGCAGAGATTTTGGCAGGTTACACAATGAACGGAAATAAATTCCCCGGGATCCCTGCCCCCTGAGGCCGTCTCACCTGCATTTGGAAGGCGATGTTCTGCCAGGTGTCGTTTTGGAAGCCGTAACCGTCCAATAAAAGGGTCAGGATGTAGTTGGCGCTGGCGCAGTAATTCTTCAGGTGGAAGGGCTTTTCGCGAGGGTAACTGGTGCTCAGCTGGGAGAAAGGGAATCTTAATGGAAATGGGCAGGATGCCTTTGGCGTATTGTCA